TTCTTCTAACAATACAAAATTTAATGTCAGTTCTTATTATTTAAAATATAAACAAAGAAAAACTCTATAACTAGAAATGTTTGTCACATAAAAACTCTTTCCCATTTCTTAAGTCACGTGTACTAATGTAAACGACAAAAAGCTCAATGTTACTTAGTGTCTTACTAAATAAGCAGTGGAAGTGTGGTATTATTCTGATAAATGACGTACTCATAATACACATAGTTAAAAAAAAGAAAACTGTTACATCTATATGTGCTTTATCTATTACTTAGAAAAGCTAAAGCAGAAAAGCTAAATCGCAGTTTAAACAAGACCGCATGCATATATACACATACATTAAATTTTTAATTATGATTATATTTTATATAAATTTTTAACATTTTTTGTTACAAAACAGTAAACAAAAAAAAAAAAAATAACAAAAACAATATTAACAAAAGTGCTATTATTATTAAATATATAAATATTTATTTGTAAATGTATTATCAAAACAATAACAAAATAACCGTATATATATGACAAATTTATATTAAAATCCAATATTTGGTATAAACTCTTAGTGAAATACTATTACAAGTGTAAGACAATATGAGTAATAAAGTATGTATGCATATATAAAATTTAATTTCATACGTTTTTATAGAAAATTTAATAAACACTTTTGGTTTGATAGAATGTAGTTGACCATTTCATGTATAGGTCCAGTTCATAAATTACTGCTACTGCTGCATTTAAGTTCAATTTGCTTGCCACTAAATTAAATACGATTAAATATATTATAAATTATAATTATATTATTTAAACCTTTAATGTTGGTTGTCCACCACTACGTGCAGCTTCTTGTTCACGTCGTTCTAGATCTTCTTGTCGCTGTTGCTGCCTACGCACATTTTCAGGATTTTTAATACCTCTATGTTCGTTTTCTAAACGTCTACGTTCAGCTGCCTCCAGTTGTTGTTGTCTTCTCGTTTCCTAAAGAAAATAAACTTTCGCTAGTAAATTTTCAAAAAAAAAAACACAACGCAAATTCTTTTGTTAAACTTGTTGTATATGTTCTTACCGGCGAAGGCATTAAATTTGCTTCTTCCGAGCTGCCTCCGCAACATGATGAACATATGCCCATTGTAATTTGATTTATTTAAAAATAAATTTAATATATTTGTGATTTAGCAATAAAATACACAACTTTAAGGCTTCTGCGTTTTCTTTGTTGCTCTTTTTTGAAGTTTCTGCGTGTTTACAAATGTTTGTGTGTGTGTATTTAAGATATCATATGTTTTTCTTCATTTCGCTTTATCACTATTGGATGTTAAGAGACTTGGCAGCACTTGCTGTTGGCTTTTGTTGCCAAAAGTTTTGTTTTGTTGTTTTTGCTGTGCTTTTTTTTTTGTTTGAAACTCTTATACGTTGTGTTTTGCGAAACGCAAGAAGATATTTGTCGGTTTATTTGCTTTTGTTATGATTTTGTAGCGATTTGGTTATCGTTGGCTCCCGCGTGTGATACATTTGACATTATTTTATTGTTCAAAAAAAAAAAAATTATAATTCTTATCAAATCAATTATTTTTTTATCAAATCAATTAAATATTTTATTAGTTATAAATCATTGAAATTTAACAATGTTGAGTGTTCCGGAAAAAGTAAGTATTTTAATAATTGCAGTGTTTTTTTAATGACCAATGACCAAAGTTTCTAACGACGGAAATCATATGCGATACTCAAGAATGTTTCAACTTTTGCAGCTGCAGTGTGCATGGTTTGAATATGTGCAAGTGCAATGAACTTAGAAGTGAAACAGCAGTTACAATTTTTGTTGTTGTATTTTTTAAATTAACAGTCATCTGTTATTGTTATGCCAGTGAAGAAACGTTTGCAATGACCTTCAATTGACCTAGAGCAAGTGCACAACGTAAAATTTGGTACTAATAAAATATTTAGTAAATAAATTACGCAAAATATTAAAAGAAAAAAAAATAAATTAAAAATTTTAAAATAAAACAAAAATATTCTGCCTTTAATGATTATCATTAATGTTAAATATGATGATAATTATTTCAGTTTCTTACATTAAATTTGCTAAATGTTGTTTTTTAATTTTATTTACTCAAGTTCTAGTTTTATTTTTTTTTGTGTTTTGCGCGTGTCGTTCAATTGATTTAATTAAGTTTATTGGTGGGAACATCGGCGAGAGCAGATGCAAGTGTCTCATGTAATGATAATTAACTCAACATAATAATGATAAAATAAATAATGAACATGAATGAATAAAATATAAATTAAGGTTTTTGTCTTTTGTAAATATAAACTTAATTCTTATTTTTAATGTTGTTTTCGTGTGATATTAAACTATTTCGTTATGCACTATTGAATTATTTTTCCGCGTTAATAATAAATTTTTTTTTGTACTATTACATTTTGTCTTGTATAATAAATAATGTTTTTGTCGTGTAATATTAAATTTTTTTATTAATAAATTTAATTTTTTTATTAATAAAAAAATATTTAATCACATAGAGATCAGTAGTTCCCTACCTTTTTTTTACCAAGTACCGCTATGATAAACTTTCATAACACGAATTTTCTATAACTCGAATTTTCTATAACTCGAATTTTC